GCATGGGGCTTTCACCAGATGCAATGGCCCAATCTTGGATTCTCCAGGCACTAGAATCAGGAGCCAAATAAACCTCTTTTCTTTATAAATTACACAGTCTCAGGTGTTCTCTTATAGCAACACAAAATAGACTAAGACAATATCCTTCAATAGCAAATGGCTAAACAGTTTGTGGTGCATCCATAGGATGAAGTATTGTTCGTTATAAAATGAAATCAAGTATCAAGCCATAAAAAACAGGGAAGAACCTTAAAAGTATATTTCTAAGTGAAAGAAGCCAATGCAAAATGGCCATATACTGTATAATTTCAAATATGACATTCTAGAAAACTTAAAACTATGACAGAATAAAAAGATCTTTGTCAAGGAAAGAATGTATGAATAGGTGGAGCCTAGGGGACTTTTACGGCAGTGAAAGTATTCTATATGATGCAGAATGATGGACCCAGTCATTAAACATTTGCCAACACTCATAGATTATATAACACAAAGAGTCAGCCCTAATGTGACTATGGACTTTGATGCATCAATATTACTACATCAGTTGTAGCAGATCTATCACAGTAATGCAAGATGTAAAAAACAAGACAAACTGTGTGGAGAGAGAGGGGTTATGTGGGAATACTCTCTTTTCTGATCAGTTTTGAGTGTGCTACCCCTTTCCTGACTGAACCCTATCCATAAAAGAAGGCTATTTAAGGCTGAATTAATAACATGTGCAAAGGCACAGAGTGGGGAGCAAAAGTGAGGGATTGGGAGGCCATTTCAGGTATGTCCATATTCAACGGTTATCATATGGTATATGGTTACTGTAGGAAAACAAGTCTAAAGGGGTGTTGTAGTCAGCTAGGACTGCTCTAACAAACTACAGTGGTGTAGTGGATTTAATTATGTCCCCCCCAAACTCCCTGAAGCTTGAAATGTGTCCCCCAAGTTTTATGTATTAGAAACTTAGCCCCCACTATGACTGTTAAGAGGGTGGGAAATCCTATTATGGTAATTGAAAGGTGGAGCCTTAAACAGGTGATTGGATTGTGGCACCATGCCATAGTGAATGGATTAAAAATAGTGGTCAAGGGCGTGGTTCTGGGGGCTTTAAAAAAAGAGGAGAGTCTGTCTCTCTCTGTTCCCACCATCTTGCAGTGTGAGACACCTGGGTCATTGGCACCACCACCAGATGGAATTTGGGCTTCCCAGCCTCAGAAACTGTAAGCAAATAAATTTTATTTTCTTTATAAATTACCCAGTTCTGTGTATTCTGTTATAAGCAACACAAAACAAACTAATACAGGTGGGATGGGTGGAATAAACACTTGTTTCTCATAGTTTTGGAGCCTGGGGAGTCTAAGATAAAGACACAGGCTAGGTCACTTCTCAGTGTGACCTCACATAGTATATAGAGAGTGATCTCTCTCTCTCTGATTTCATGGGGTGAAGAATCCCACCATGAGGGCCCCAACACATGACCTCATCTAACCTTAATTACCAACCAAAGGCCCCATCTCCAAATACCATCACATTGGGTTTGCAGCTCCAAAATATGAATTTGCGTGGGACTCAGTGCGTAGCAAGGGGTACAGAGAAGGAAATTTATAAAAAGGGTGTTGGCTGGATAAACTGGGTGACCCACAGCCTCAGACGCAGCATGTATGCAACAGAGACAAAGAAACCGGAGAAAAACTTTTTCAGCATAATATTAAAGATATTAATAGTATTATTCAATAATAACTGACTGAAAACTAAAAATAGCCAAAACTCTACTTCATGATAAAGAGATGATAAAGCTATAAAGAATAATGGGGGGGAGGGGAGGAACCCACAATGGCTCACTCCTAGGTGGTGAGTGAAGGAAACCTGAGCAGTCAGAAATATTAATTCTGGGAGCTCCACACACCCTACTGTCCCCTCCTCACAGTGTAGAAACACTGCCACCTCCACGGTCTCAATTCTCACCAGCAGCCAAACACCTGCAGTCAGTGTAAGGTTCTGACCCGTGATGTCTTTTTTCTGACACCAATGTGTGGTGTTTGCTGAACACTAACCAACTCTCCAGCACCAGCTGGATGTCCAACAATCTAATTCCAACCACCCAGAGTTAGCACAGACCCCACAAGATCAGGGCTCATTCTCACAACACTGCCCCCAGTTTAGATGACAACTGGGACGCATGTTTCTGACCAACTGCCTATAAATCAGGGGCTCCCACATCCCTCCTCATGTTCAATAATTTGCTAGAACTACTCAAAGAAAACAGCAGAACATTTTATTCAAGTTTACCAGTATATTACAAAAGAACTCAGGAACAGTCAAATGGAAGAGATGTTGATGGCAAGAAAAGGGAGGATGTGCAAAGCCCCCCTTCTTGGGGTGGACCACCCTCCCAGCTCATCAATGTTTTCACCAACCCGGGAGCTCTCTGAATGTCTCTGCTCAAGAGTTTTTATAGAATTCAATCTACAGCCTCCCTCTCCTTCCTGAGGTCAGGGTGGAACTTAAAATTTCAACCTTCTAATCATGGGTTTTGTCTTTCTGGTTTCCAGTCCCCATTCTGCAGACATAGACTCCTCATTAGCATAAACTCAAGCATGGTCTGAGAGGGACTTGCTATGAATTACAAAAGGTACTCCTATCACTCAGGAAATGCCAATGGCTTTAGGACCTCTGTGCCAGCAACTGCAGACAAACACAAAATATATTTTTTAATACACCACACAAGCAAATAAACTATCAAATTCATAAACTTTTTCTCCATGGCAAAACCCAAAGGTGTCTTTCTCTATGTCTGACCCTCACCAACATTATCATTTTGCGCAAATTAAACCAACTCTGTAACTGCAAAATCAAAGTGCTGATACTGTTGAATTTTACCCAAGTTTTGTGATTCTGGTAAATAACTATAATTAAAGAAACCCCCACCAGCACCATCCTGGGTGTTCTGGAGACACAGGCTATTGCAAAAAAAACACCCTTCCCGTCACAACTTGGATGATGTCCCTTTACCAATGACAAGGCCAGACAGTGACTCTCCATATTCCCACTCTTCCTCATAAATGATTAGCTGAACAGTTCTGTCTTCACTGATCAGTCAGAACAAAATACTTGTCAACCAAACTTTGGTTAAATTTCTCTCCTTCCAAACCTATGAACTTAGACCCATCCTCAGCAGGCTGAGCCAAACCCCCTCCTTTATTGCCCTGTTGAGAACAGGCTGACCTCAGGGTGAAACAGTCTCTGATCTAGGATCTGACTTTGTCACCCTCCATCATGTCCTCCCTCCTATCTTCTTTCTAATCTTGTTTGCTCCTCCCTGTGAAAGAAAACCCTTTTCTGCCTGACTTTTGAGATGCTGCAGATCTTATACTCGGTCCTTTCCTCCTATTGCAATACTCCTTTAGAATAAGGTCACTCCTTATCTAAATCTGGATTTATTTCCCTTGACATACAGTCCCAGGACAGTAACAATTACAGCCTCAGAAAGGGCATCACCTGCCCTTCCGCATCTGCCTGTGAGTCCCAGCTCTCCAGGGCTCTGTAGAGTCTCTCAGTATAAAGGCTCCTTCCATGGTCAGTATGAGCAGGCTGGACACCTGCAGCAGAGGCTCCCCAGGAATAACCAACTGGGCCTTCAATGACCTCTATTTGCAGGCCCAGGATTGGCCTTAGCTTCCATTCACTGGCCTTACAAAATACCCAGTGTTTGAAAAATCTAGCCAAATCACTGAAATTCACTGTCCTCGCTCACTGACATACTCAAGGACCACTGTCTTCAGCAACAATGCATTCATTATGCCCCACTTTGTACCTGGATTGTCTTTTGCTTTTCAGGTTCTTGCACCAGCCCAGTGGGGTTTCTCTGTCCTTTGGGATAATTTTTCTCTCTTCACTAGTCCGAGAAAATCCAGACGGCAGGAGTCATTTCTGTCTTCCCCTCAATATCTGGGTCGGACTGGCTGACCACCAATTTATTTCCAGTCAATGGAAATTAGGTTTAGAGAAAGAAAACCTGAGTGTCTCAAGGGGTTGACGTTTTCGATGAAGTTATACCAGGAGACACCTCCCAGCCCAAGGGCAGCTGGCTGCTCACCTGAGAAGCCCCACCCCCAAACCTCAGATTCCTCTCTGGGGAAATGACCCAGGGGCTGACACTCACTAGACACTGCAAGAGACATGGCAGCTGTGGGCATCTGGGTCAGACCCAGGCAGTTTTAAACCAAGAGCTAAGAAAACGTAAAGAGTAGGGCTGAGGACACGTCACCCTGTAAAGTTTCCAAAGGGGAACCTCATTCCAAAGACATTCCGAAAAGTTCGCGCTTATAGAAGATAGGAGAGATGCAAAGATTATTTACAGCGGAGCTTCAGGTAGTTATTTTCTGCTTTCCTGTCAGGCGAAAAGTAAACAAACATCAAACAAAACTTTTGAAATGAGCTATTCTTTGCTCTATAAAAAAAAGGTAATGAAAAATAATTAAAACTGTGCTTGTTTCAAATGTACAATGAAGGACAATAGTTGATAATGTGGATTGGAGAGGGGAAGTTGGCCTTTGGGAACGCGAAGAGGAAACTGGAAATCTAGGGATTAATTGCCAGCCATAGGAAGAGCTGGCTGGGGAAACAGTCCTGGATTCATAGGCTGCTTGCTTCAAATACAAATGGAAGACACAGACGAAAACCGGTCCCCGGGGAGAAAGAAGGGACAGGGGACCCCACGGACCACAACTCCTCCTTCACACGAGCCCCACAGCCCGAATCGGGGTGTCCCTTCAGGACCCCGCTGTCACCGCACGGTCTGGGGACAAGCGGGGCCGCGGGCGCGGAGCTGCCCAGAGAGGGCTCCGGGCCGGGCCGAGGTCGCCGCCGCAGGGATGCGACAGGACGCCCGGCCACCGGCCCCGCCCCAACCTGCGGCCGGAGGGGACCCAGGGCCGCGCTGCGCCGGCGGCGGACTCGGGACCGCAGACTCCGGGGCTGAGCGCGGGAAGGCCCGGGTCCTGCACACTCACCATTTCCCGGCTTCCGGGAGTCCCGGCGTCCTCCCTACGGCTGCTGCGGCCTGTGCAGGTATTAGCGCGACAGAGGCTGCTACGGAGTTACCTGGGATACCTAGCAGCAGCGAGACCAGATCTTAAGCACCGCCGGGAAGACAAAGACCCAGTGAGGTTGCGAAGCGACAGCCCCTTCTCTCCGCAGCGTGCCAGACCGCACAGTTCTCGCGGCCACGCCCCAGCGTCCTGATTGGATTCTGCTACAGGTTCCCGCCCCTGAGATCTAAGTGAGAGGAACAGCGATCCAATAGATGGCTGAATAGAGCTAGATTGACAGCTTCTAGCCACAGCCCTTATCAGCTTCCTCCCGGCGCCCAAGCCGGTCCCGCCGGGAGGATATTTGTGTTTCGGCGGAACTTGCTCCTGACTTTACAGCGCTGGCGCTGGCTTCTTCCTGTACTCACTGGGCCCTTCCTGCTTGTTTCTTCTGGACACGGGGCCACAAGTGTGCATTGGAAGAAGAGGAAGGGCCTGATGTCCTCCAGCGACCAGGATTTTGAGACGAGGCATTTGGGGGCATTTTTGGATGGCTGAAGCACTGGCCAATGAGGCGCCCGTGGGGAAGAGGGTCGATGCCCCACAACCCAGGGGGGGTCTTCTGTTCTCCTGCCCATCGCCGTCAGGATCCGGTCTCTTGTGCTACAGAGGCCCCAAGTGGCTCTATGGCAACCCCTATCACTCTGTGACCAGCGTCGTGACCGTGGTAGCCTAGGGAAGACGGCGGAACTCCCGGAAGCCGGGAAATAGTGAGTGTCTGGAGGGCGTCCCGAGTCGAGGAGCAGGGGCTGGTTAGAACCGGCGGGAACTGGCTGTGGACGCGGAACTCGGGCCTCCCGCCCCCCTGTGGCCGGAGGGGACCGAGGGCCGCACTGCGCCGGCGGCGGACTCGGGGTCGCAGACTCTGGGGCTGAGCGCGGGAAGACCCGGGTCCCGCGGCCATGGCCGGCTCCTGGCGCCCGGCCCCGACACTCACCGTTTCCCGGGATACAGGGTTTCCCGGCATCCTCTCTATGGCTTCCGACGAGTGTGGGTCACAGCGCGACCGCAGTTGCAGCAAAACCACTTGGGGTCCCCGGAGCGCGAAGGCACGAGAGTAGAGGACCCCGCGGGGGAGTAGAGTGGGGGAACCTCCACTCTACTCCCCAGGGCGCGCCGCATCGGTCAGTGCTTATCCTGTCCCAAAATACCGCCACTGCCTCATACCAAATCCCTGGTCCCTGGAGGACATCGAGCCCTTCCTCCTGTTCCCGTGGGCACCCCTCCTGCTCTGAGGGAAAGAGGTCGCTGCATGGGACACTGAGCCTGGAATTTCCCTGCACACTTGTGGCCCCGTGTCCAGAAAAAACAAGCAGGAAGGGCCCAGTGAGTACAGGAAGAGGCCAGCGCCAGCGCTGTAAAGTCAGGAGCAAGGTCCGCCGAAACACGAATATCCTCCCGGCGGGACCCGCTTGGGCGCGGGGAGGAAGCTGTCTGATGAGGGCTGTGGCTAGAAGCTGTCAATCTAGCTCCCCTCAGCCACCGATTGGGTCTCATCTCCTGTCACTCAGGTCTCAGGAGACAGAGCCTGGAGCAGTGTCCAATCGGGGGCGCTGGGGCGGGACCCTGCGAACCGTCCTGTTCCATAACTGGACCCGGACGTTGTCTCGCTGGCAGTACTCAGGTTCCTGTCCCGCTACCCTAGTTCCCTCTGCTAACTTTGTTACAGTCTCTGTCGCCGTGTTTCCTGCTCTGGTGGCGGAACGTTAGGAAGGACGCAGGGGCACCCGAAAGCCGGGAAATGGTGAGAGTCGGGCGGGCGTCCCGAGACCGGAGCAGGGCCCGTTGGAACCGGCCGGAGCCGGCCGTGGCCGCGGGACCCGGGCCTCCCCGCGCGCTGCCCCGGAGTCTGACAGCCCGAGTCCGCCGCCGGCGCAGCGCGGCCCTGGGTCCCCTCCGGCCGCAGGGTGGGGCGGGGCCGGCGGCCGGGACCCCGGACATCCTGTCCTGTCCCTGCGGCGGCGACCTCGGCCCGGCCTGAAGCCCTCTCTGGGCAGCCCCGCTTGTCCCCAGAGTGTGCAGTGACGGCGGCGTCCTCTGGGGACACCCGGCTCGGGCTGTGGGGCTCGTGCAGGGGAGGAGCTGTGGTCTGTAGGGTCCCCAGTCCTTCTTTTCTTCCCGGGTCACCGATTTTCTTCCGAGTGTTCCCAGTGTCTGGGAAGGAGTGTCTCAAGTCCACAGCCCTGTCTGTCCCCATACCCTACCTCTTCCTGGGCTGGCCATAAATCCCATAGATTTCCAGATCCCTCCCCGCATTCCCGAACGAGGACTTCCTTCCCCTCTGCAATTCGCTACAGCATTATCAACTGTTTGACCTTCGTTGTACACTTCAGAGAGACCCAGTAGAGTAATCGTTTATCGTTCTTTAACAAGCAATGGACGGCTTCAAATACAAATGGAAGACACAAATATATATATAAAATATATATATATATTTAAAAAAAAATAAAAATAAAAATAAAAAGATGACCGGTAAGGGGATCTTAACCCTTGACTTGGTGTTATCAGCACCACGCTCAGCCAGTGAGCGAACGCCAGTTCCTATATAGGGATCCGAACCCCTGGCCTTGGTACTATCAGCACCACACACTCCTAAGTGAGCCACGGGCCGGCCCTGGATGGCTCTTTTTAAAAGATTACTTTTTTTACTTGTGGACTTTTCACTTGGGAGGAAGGCAGAAAATAACCACCTGAACTTTGCTGTATAAAATCTTTGTCTCACCTCCTTTCATCTTCCCTACGTGCAGACTCCTTCTCAGAAGGTCTTTGGGGTGAGGTTCCCCTTTGTCTTTTTTTTTTTTTAAAGATGACCGGTAAGGAGATCTCAGCCCTTGGCTTGGTGTTGTCAGCACCACGCTCAGCCAGTGAGCAAACCGGCAGTCCCTATATAGGATCCGAACCCGCAGCCTTGGTGTTATCAGCACCGCACTCTACCGAGTGAGCCACGGGCCGGCCCGAGGTTCCCCTTTGGAAACAGTACAGGCTGATGTGTCTTCAGACCTACCTCGTTTTTCCTGGTCGTGGGTTTCAGAACTGCCTGAGCTGACCCAGAAGCCTACAGCTGCCAAGTCTCTTGGAGTGTCTAGTGAGTGTCAGGCCCTGGGTCATCATCTCCCAGAGGACAGCCTGAGGTGTGGTGGTGGGGCCCCTCAGGGGAGCAGCTGGAGGCCCTGGGTCTGGGAGAATGTAATACAGGAGCCCCAAATCTGCGAGGGTATTGCCTAGTGGGTGCCTATTACAAAGAACTTATTTGGTGGCCCAATGAGTAGAGACATTGGTTTATTAGACTTATGAGAGTCACTATGGGTGGCTGGTCAGGGAGAAAATCCGCACCACCAGGGGGTACATACAACAGTTATATAGTGAACAGATCAGAGTAAGGGGTGTAAATCTTTTTCAGACCATCACCCAGCTCACATAACTCAGAGTGCGCGGGAGATCTAGCTGAGCAGATAAATTAATCTACTCTCTACTCTCCTGGCGCCAGACTGCTAGTTCATTTACTTAGTGTCCTGCTCCCTCCAGCCTTCTGTTTGTCTTAAAGGGGATGTGCCTTTCCTTGGGTAACTACCTTGGCCAGGGGTAGTCTCCCAGTGCGAAGGGGATACTCAGGTATGCACGAGGAGGGGGGAATAGGGCTATGTCCAGCATTTACCCTACAGGGGGGTCTCCTGGTTTATCCTTTATCTAAATAGCTGACCCCTTGGGACACTCAATTTCTCTACTGCCACCTCATTTTCATTCCTTGGAGACACATTGGTCAGCCAATCATGCTAGTATTGAGGGAAAAAGATTGAAATTATTCTTGCCCTCTGGTTTCTCTCAGACTAGTGAAGGGGAAAAACTGTCCCCAAAGACAATGAAAACCCACCCCATTGAGGTGGTGCAAGATTAGAAAAACAAAATGAAGTACAATTTGGGTATAAAGGGGGGCACAAGCCAGTGTCTCATGGGAGGGTGTGTCTTAAAGCACTTCAGTGAGTAGGATAGGGTGGCAGATGTCCTACATAATAAGTGTCCACCTTTGAAACGTGAGTCAGACAGGTGTATGTTCCAATCGGCACTGTGTGTCCCTTTATTCACCTAGAAAAGGTTTGGTTGCTTATTTCTGTTTTTCATTAAACGTAAAATGTATTTTATCAATAGGGATTGAAAGATAAAGTATTTACAAAGAGGCCAGAAAGAAGAGGATTTCGGGAAAAAATTAAATATCTAATCTAGTCTATTTGTTAAAAAATTTATTTACATTTTTTTTCTTTCTCAGAGAGAGTGCAGTAAGTTTCTGAGATCTGGTGTTTCTTCTGGGTGATTTCAAATGGAATTCCAGGGCTTAGCCTTGAGAATACTACAGAGGAATACAAACAGGGAAAACCTCTCTTCCATTATGGCTGCTTAAAAATGAATACATTTCCACAAAGAAAGATAAATTGATGAATTACAAAGATTTGCCAAAACATCAATTCCTTTTCTTTGCAGCGTGGAGAATTAGTGACAGTGGATAACTCCGCTTTATTTCCTTTTATTTGGACTTTGTAGATTAATGCTAAATCCTATAGGACACAACTTGGCAACACCTAAAAGTGTTCAAGTATGATTGTTTATTAAACAATTTTTTTTTTCCTTTTTGTCTTTTTTTTTTTCGTGTCCGGCAACGGATCGCAACCCTCGGTGTCGCGCCCGTACTGGACTGGGACCGGCAACGGGATCACAACCCTCGGTGTTGCACCCGCACCCCACTCAGCCAGTGAGCGGGAACCGGTCTGTATGTGGGATCCGAACCCTCGGCGGGAGCGCCACTGCGCTCCCAAGCGGCGTACTGTAGCATGCGCCACTGGGCCGGCCCGTTTATTAAACAATTTGTCTTGGAAATGACAATGTGAAAGGGTTAGATATTTGTACTTTTTCAGTTGAGTTATAAAATACAAATGCCTTACAATTTGCTTTCCTCCCAAATACATAAACTGCTAGCTTGAGTGATTTTTTTTTTTTTTTTTTTCCTATATGGGATCCAAATCCGTGCCTTGCTGTTATCAGCACCGCACTTTCCCGAGTGAGCCACGGGCCAGCCCTAGCTTGAGTGATTTTTGCTA